CCCCAAAAAAACTTCCACATGGCATTGGATTTTTATGTTAGTTAAAAATCACTCATTCTTTTTCATCAACTTAATTTCTTTTAAGGTAAATATCAGTACTTGTTTTTGTTACATTCAGAAGCAAGTTTTAATTCCTGCTTAAAAACCTATACTACCAATTTCTATAGAAATTGTTATCTATATCACTTGAGTCCTTTTTTATATTGATTTGAGGACATAATAAATATTGGTATCCTCTTTGAAATTAAAGGTTCTTTTAATACATACTTTTGTTTTAATTAAAGAAAAATTACCTATTATATGCTCTCTTTTTCTTTCAGGTGGGAGGTGTTGCTGTTTTTCTCCTGATGGTAAAGCTTTAGCTGTAGGTCTTAATGATGGAAGTTTCTTAATGGCAAATGCAGATACTCTAGAGGATCTTGTGTCTTTTCACCACAGAAAAGATATTATTTCAGATATTCGATTTTCACCTGGTAAGATTCTGTTGAAATTGTATTTGATTATTAACTGGGGCATATGTTTCAGTGTGTAATTTTTATTAACTTATTTTATCTCAGAATTTTACTTTTTGACTAGAAGAGGCAGTGTGGTAAGAGAGAAAAGCCCTTTATTAGATAAGTGTAGATATCTGGCTTAGTGCTAATTATGTCACTAAATTTTCTGTGTGGCTTGGGCTAGAGCACCTCTCTGAGCTTCAGTTTTCTCATTTGTAACATAAAAGGGGTTGGATGACTGTTTTCAGTATATTCTTAATGCTTTTGGAATTGCATTAATTTTACTCCATCAGTTTCCATGTATTCACTATCTACTGAAAAACCTGCTACAATGTAGGAATTACTAACATTAAGGCAAAATTTACTTATGTTGGTTAAGTTTCATTTTTTTTTCTAAATTTAGAGGAGTTTTTTATTGTTAAATACAAATATCAAAATTACATTGTATATAATTTTTGACATTTGCTCTCCATTGAACTAATTTGTTACACTAAAAAATATTGTTAATTATAATATACTTGAAAAATGTTATCATTTGACACATCTGTCTTCTTGTGATGTAACTTATGAAACACCTAAGATTTTTCCCCCCCAAAATTAGGAAAGTTAACCCTAGTTGCAGAATATAAAAAATAGTTCCAAAGATAGAAAAGGTCAAGCAAATATGTTTCTATTATAGGTTCTGGGAAGTATCTAGCTGTAGCATCCCATGACAGCTTCATAGATATATACAATGTAATGAGTAGTAAACGAGTAGGAGTATGCAAAGGAGCTACCAGTTACATAACCCACATTGATTGGGATATTAGAGGTAAGACTTTAAATAACTTAATATTTTATGAAAATTTAATTTGATTCAGTATGGCTGTTTTAAAGAAACAAAAAATGACTCAGTAGATGAGTTCAAAAGCATTGTGAAAAACATTTTTCTCAAAATTATATTTTACTACTTTATTTTACATCTGAAGATGAAAAGACTTTTCAATACTTCACCTAATGTCATTCAAATGTAGTGCAGTAAGTAATAAGTTTAATTTGTAAAGTAATTTAAATATTATACAAAACATTTACTATACAACT